CAATGACCTCCAAGCTAATAGCGATGGCCTCCAACCTACTAGCGATGCCCTCCAACCTGCTATCGATGGCCTCCAACCTAATAGCGATGGCCTCCAACCTACTAGCGATGGCCTCCAACCTACTAGCGATGGTCTCCAACCTTCTAGCGATGCCTCCAACCTACTAGCGATGGCCTCCAACCTACTCAAATCTGATCATACCTGATCATCATATCCATGGATCTTCGCATCTCATCCGGAAGAAGAAACATCCACAAAATATCACAGAATCATCAGGTCCATGTTTGGTCCATCCCATCATATCCCATCATAACACTCGCACCGGCTGAACCTTCAACACCGAAAACCCACATGGCCCGAAACGAAAGCCCCCGCTGCCGGACTTCATCCCCTCCTGCGCGACACCGGGGGCGTGAGGAGAAAAACGTGTTACGCGGTGGAAAACTAACATGGACTTTGAAAAACCACTGGATTCGAAGAGGAAATCAGTCTTTCCGGGTCACATGTTCAGGGTCCATGTTCGGGAGTGTCATGTTCAACAGACAGCGGGTTTCGAATCGAGGTGCCATCTCCATGCGCTTGGTCGAGGCGTTGTGGAACTGCGAATCCAAGACCTGCATCGCTGCCGCACTCTGGGTGCCGGCGGGCGGCGTCTTGTCCATGCCCACCTTGGAGAGCGGCAGGGATCGCGGCAGGGATCGTGGCAGTCGGGAGAAGCGAAGGCATGGTTTTTCGACTTCAACCGTTGAACAGGTCCTTTTCCGAGCAAGGAAAAACGTCGACTTTGTTTCGCAACAAGACATGTCCAGGCCATTCTGGGAGACGCTAAGTGTCTTATGTTGAGGTACTTTAGGACTATGAAGAGATGTGCTCCCTCATACACGACAGCTTTCGTCGGACCGAGTCTACAGGAGGCGTTGCGTTTAAAAAGGGTGGATTTGGGCAAAAGCGGCAAAAGTTCTTTCGAGGCTTCTGCCACCTCTGGTGGCACCAGTAGCAGCACACACCCAGTAGCCTTTTGTCACTAGTAGCAGCCCAGCTGCTGTCTTCCGAAGCACCAAGTAAAGTGCTGGTGGAGTCAGAAAGAAGGTGACCACGCCCCAGGCAATCACCAGAGGCCATCGATTCCGATAGACGCTGCGGGCAATGACAAACATACAGGCATCCATGTAGCTTCCTTCCTTGGAAAGACACCAAGTGGGCAGCATCTTCGAGGTCCACTCAACAGCTCCTTGTCGACTCGTGCCCACAAATGCATCTCATTGCTTCCAAGCAAACCCAACAATAGGTACCAAGAAATTGATGGTCCAAGCGGCTTGTTCCCGGATGTCCTTTCCATCGCTCCGATTGCCAATGTCGTCATCCGACATCTTTGGCACTGTGGATTGACAGACAGATATAGTAGTAGACCTTGCAAGATCTACAACAGCTTGGCAAACAGGGCAACGGGGCCTTTCTTAAAACTTGCTTCTGCCGGGTTTTCGCCACGGTCCCAGCACTCACCCTGAAGTGGCTTTTCGTCTGCTCAACGCACCCTGTTTTGGGGGTCCTTTCAGTCGCAGCAGCCAACGAACCCGAATTTGCAGGGGGTCTAGTCACTCTAGTCTATCATGTCATGCAACTGTAGGAAAGAAGACACTGGCAGCACCTGCAACCCCAAGAAAGACTGCAAGATTAGCTGGCGTAGACTCTATTCCTTTCAACGGAAAGGGGATCTTGTCGGGTGTTGGGAGACACTTGATATCCCAATCCCAATCTTCAAAGCACAACATGATTGGTTCACAGCTTGAAACATGTTGAAACATGTTAAAATATGTCAATCCCTATCCGTTCCGTGCCGTTCGATGCCATGTTGACATCAAACACTTGAGGGGCAGGCCGCCTTGGGGGGGCTTTGTTCCAACGTATGATCCACTGCTTCATGATGCTGTTCGAACCTCCCAAGCTTGAGCCACCGTGAGACATAGTCCGGGCATGAGGACATGCACCCTACGGCACAAGAAGACCAAGGTTTCGCACATCAATGGAGGGGGCATGTTTCTACAGCCTGCCATCACAGACCACCGAAGATTGCAAAGACCAACAAATATCATGTGTTCTTCTCTGTTGGCGGTGAAGGATGTCTATCGTATCCTTTTCTCTTGGAGGTCCGCTTGACACCAACTAGGGATTGCTCCAACTAGGGATTCTAAACGTACTAATTGCCTCTGTCGGATACCTATCAAATCCCTTTTCCAGATTTTATGACTCGCTGGTTTCAACGACCTTTTGCAGGGACGACGAAGCACAGCTAGATGAAGCCTTGAAATCCTAAGAGCTACAGCAGTATTTCTGCGGCATAATAGAAGTTCTATGAAGTTCTAGCATCAAAGTGACTGAAAAATATAGAAGAGCACTGAAGTGACCTCCCCTGAGCACTGAAGCACCGAAAGAACAAAAAACACGCACGTTCCACCCACATGGGGCTGGTGAAGCAACCTTGTGAAACTTGATGTCGTGGCTTTTATCGTTCCTACTTTACTCTCCTTATACTGTATACATATATACGACTCTATAATGTATCTATATATATATATACATATGTGTGTGTGTTTTTGCTTTGCAAGGATAAGTCAAGATCACCCGCGCGACGCAGGACTAGAAACTTCCCTCCGGTCCACAAACAGCCGAAACAAACGAAAGAACCAACGGCGGCGGCCTTCGAAGTAGTGGACATCGGTGGCCTTCAGCTTGTGAGGATCACTGTCATCCAAGTGGAACTCCACCTGGCGTCATGCTCGGAGCTTCGAGGACCGAGGATGCTGTTCTGGGCCAAACGGGCGAAAGGAGAAGTTCGGAAGAAACTCAAAGCAATCATGGATGAAGGACTTTCCGGCCGCCACGGGGCAAGTTGTACAAAATGTTAATAGACAAAATACAGACCAAATGCAGTCATGGTCAAAGAAGGCACAAAAGACTTGAGAGAAAATGCCTCATGAGTTGATGCTAGAAAAACTCTGGACTGTATGGATCCGAAATCACAGTAGATCAGTAGATGATGGTTCCCACGTCACCTCAAGGGCCATAAAGATGGGTTGCCTTCAATGACATGAAACTCCACCAATTGGACCTCTTTAGCAGCTGGTCTGGCTTCTTCCAGCCCACCCTAAACCCGCCACCCTTTTCGCATGTCCCACACACCCAAAAGAAGCAACTGCAACCAAACCAAAACACCAAAAAGATCCACAGCCACACCCCCACGCTCCGTCTCACGTCCCGAAACCGCCCGACCTCCGCCCTCCACACGGTCCCGAAACCGCCTCCACTCGCTCGTGGCCCGAGAGTCCGATGTTCCGCGTGGGCGGGCTGCGAAAGCCCCTGGGTCGGGGGTCGAGGTGTCCGGGTAGACCTGAGGTGAGATCCATGGTGCCGGTGTTGTTCTAGAAACATCAACCCCTGCCATGAGCAGTGTATGTTGGAATTCTGTTGGAAATATAGTTGAAACTTAAACCCCCTACTTGTAGGTGTATTAGAGTAGTTCAGTCATGTCTGTCGGCTTCAGGATGCTTTCATTCACATTCATCCCGTTGCCGTTGCCCTGATACAAAGTCGATCCAGGTGCCACTCTGCGCAAGCATGAGCTTGCATCGAACATGGGCGCAAGTGTGGTCTTTTCCTGCTGCAAAGGACCCCTCTGGTCCACTCTCTTCAACCGTGCCTGTGTACAGAACTGCCGCAGGACCAGCCGCGCCACTTCGTGGCAGACTGAGTGCTTCCCAGTGTTCAAGGACAAACACGTTAGGCATCGGTATGTTATATCTGCTGAAAACTGTGTATAATCCTTTTAAAGGAACAATGTTGATGTTCGAATCTCCGGAATAGTCCAACAGGGTCAGTCAAATGTGAAACTTGCCTTGACACCACAGGAATCTGCTGGGGTGGTCACCTCATCCAAGGGGGCCTTGGTTTTCGTCCGTGTCCCCTTCTCAGGTCTTAGACTTCCGTCAGACGTGAACACCCAGCAGAGCGCCGGTGAGACCCGAAAGCGGCCGTTTTCAGCAGCCTGTCTCCTCAGCTACCAGGTTCAATAGGAGCTGAAGATCGATTGCCTCCCACTGTGATGTGCGAGTAATCCTGGCGAAGAGACGCTCGGCGAAAAAACACGAGTGAAGTGAAGAAGACATGTCTTCATGAATCCTTGCGGAGAGGTCAGAGGACCTGGCAGTTCTTTGGGGGGCGAATCGATGGCAGTTCTTGTTAGCAAGAAAGCTAGTAGTCGTAACAAGGGCATCGCTACGAACGGAGGAGTTCTTGCTTTGTGGTTTGGTGGTGCCGCAGGTGCCAGTGCTCGGGCGAAGGCTCAGGTCGGCCGAAAGTGGTCGTGAAAACTGGTTGGTTGGTTGGTTGGTGCGGTTCTTGGTCGTGGTACGTGACTCCAAAGGTAAAAAGGCATAAAGATGCATAAAGAAAAAATCACGAAACAAAGACATGTCTGTTTGTTTTTCATCTGGTTGTTAGCATCACAAAAACTGTCTGTTTTAGTCGGACTGAAGCCATTATGGGCTCCCTCTCCGGCCCTCTCCTCTTCTACCAGATTCCACCATCCACTGCGGGCCCCTCCCCTTAGAATGACCATGGCGAGACGATCTGGTCACACAGGCCAGCAGGACCATGGCATCTCGATGATACAAATTTCCACGACCAAAGCCGTTCTTGGGATCATCAATTGGAGGAAGCCATCCGTAGGCCTCCACCCGTTCCGAAGCAGCGGCATCCGCGGCATCCGTCGGCCGTCCGGATCTATCTTCGGTTCCGGAACGGGGAGACCCGGTGGGTCACATGAAGCATTTTGGAGTGGCCGAATGGCCAGGTCTGATCGACCACAAGCGCCCGCGGGAGCCGCTGTCACTGCCCTGGGTCCCCAAGAAAAGAAGCATCCGCCCTCGGTGGATCTCCAACATGACCTGCCCCATGAGAGGATTCTATCACCTGTGTTGAGAGGAACCCATGAGACCCTCCGATGACGGCGACACAGAGGATGCGTCCTACTACCACCTCGGATTCGTGGCACCGGAAATCGATCTGTGGACCCGCAAGGTACATGGAAACACCCAAACATGGTGGTCTCATAAAGGAGTTCAAGGGCCTTAGAGTCTCGGCCCCCCCCAGACCTGGGTCTGCACCACCCGGCCTGAGAGCTACGCACCATCCAGCGGGTTCGCAAAGGCACCGCGCAACGCTTTCGCATGGCCTGGAAGGAGTTTGGAGCCCAAGGGGCTCGAGCCCATCCGGCGTAGTTTAAAGGTTTCCCCAAAAAGGATCCGCACGCCAGAGAATCACAAGTGGTACAAAATACTTTACAAGCTTACAAGCCCCATCACCCGAAAAAGACTTCGCTGGCATATGCATTGCTCCTTTGAGAGGCTCATGTGTTGTAGGTTGGCCTATGTCAGCCTATTTGGGCAAGCTGTGCCGCGTGCCACTAGATCCTACAGATTCTTCTAAGATTCTTTATTGCAAGCACCTATATAGTGATCTTTAAATACCACCAGGCTGGAAGATGATCCAAAAGAACTCGTTTGGTGACTCGTTTGGTGACTCGGTCCCACCCCATTTGAGATGTGCAGCACTTGGATACCACCAGGCTGGACCAGAGTAAGGCGGTGCACGCCCGACCACCGAACCTCTGTGTGGCGAATGTGATAGCTCTCCTGGCAACGCCGACCAACGACGGACAAGCCGTCGGCTCCGTCGGCCCGGACCAGCACCAGGACCACTACTTCTGTGGCTCCGAGCCGTTTAGATTGCTGGTGACGAATGTGTGTGTCCTCTTCTTGGGGAAATCCGTTCTTCATTTAAGGTCCAATTGCTTGAAGCGACGCCACACCTTTTTCAGGCTCTTCCGCCACACCTTGTTATTCTGCCCGTGATTGGCTCGACGTCACGTCCTATGCCTGGAGTACGTCCTTCGGAGTCAACCCATGCTCAACCCATCCACTTGCTCCTTGGGATTCTTTGGGTCGAAGACTGATTTGTCCTGAGCGCGAGCAAGCGATGCGGGCGATACTGATATGCCCAGCAGGTTCATTTTCTCAAAAAAGGAGGCAAGCTCCGCACTTCATGTTCCTCTCACGAAAGTTTAGATAAGGTGGGGCAAGCAAGTTGAGATCTAGCTCATTCGCACATTCGTGGTAACTCAAACAAAGACTTCAATTGAATCGGTGCTCACACCGAATTCCTGAGCAAGTCTGTGCATCCCCAGCTGCAGCATGAAGACCTAAAGAGTCTGGGTTTGTACTTGTTGATGTTGTGATCAGTTTTAAGTTTTAACCCATGGGTACTTCATTTACCTGGAAACACTATGAAAAACTATTGGTTGAAGTCCTTTATACCGAATGATCTGAACCATCCGAAAGAGCCTCTGGGAGTTTTGCCCCATGGTTCCTTGGCCATTTCGCTCCATGGTTCCAGGGGCTCTTAGGGGTGACTGAAACGACCCAGCGACCCAGCGCGCCACCAACGGTTAAACCGTCGAGCTATTAGTTGAAGAGTCGATGAAAGCAATTGACGACCTCAATCATTCGTTCGGACAGGTTTTTCATGGGATGATCATATCATGTCATGAAATATCTTGCCTTCATTAAAGGAAAATCAGTTGTATGTCAGTGCGGACTCTATCTGGAAACACACACCCCACCTTCAACTGATCGTAGGTGAAGCCATGCTCCTGCAGCGCGGCAGGTGGCAGCAAGGTCCCACAGGCTTCTGTCCTTCGTCATTGGAAGGTAGGCTGAACATTGTTAATTAGATGATCAACGCTCCCAGATTAGATGAAAAAACATGGACAAATACAGAGCAAATAGATGATCAACACCCATTCCTCAACCACCCCCCTGTTGAGGTCACGCATGCGCATTTTCCCAACATCTGCACTGTCTGCCTGGTCGGTCCGAACAAGAAAAAACGGACCGACCACCCCCTTTTTGGAACTGCTGCGTGTTTGTGGTCAACACAGCCCTGAAAGGCACCACAGCCATCCCACAGCCCAGCTTAGAAAAGAAGCTGAACGCCCTTCTGTTCGAGGCGACACCTCTCCGCTCCTCTCATCGCCCAACAGGAACGAGGAACCCACCGCCTCTCCGTTCGGGTGTCGAACTTCTCGTCCCCGACCTTGGAGACGGGATGCCGCTCATCCTTGAAGTAGCTGAAATAGCCCTGAGAACCACGGGCGCCGTCTCCGTCCGTGGAAGCCCACCGAGGAGGACCGGTGCTGGATCAACGAGGGGCCGCCAGTGTCATAGCGAAGACCTATATATTGGTTGGCCGGTTGGCCACCAGTTTGGTTGCAAGAGAAGGGAATGGTTTTGCAGTCTCAATCGATTCCAATGTGGGCAGGCCCCCTGGATCATGAAAGCATCTCATTGACTCTGATACCAGGCCACTTCTTTGCTTCATTTGTTTGCTGGGATTTTGCTGATAACATGTCCACATTGAGGATTAAGATTTGAAACTTTTCGGATTCAAAATGATTCAAAAACTTCTGAGTAGCAGCCCAGTTTTTGTTAAGCTTGTTCAGCACAGACTCAGACTGAGACTCTCCAGCGACGGTAACTGGGCAGCCGCACGTTTCGAATCTTCTGCAGGTCCGGCAATGAAGCACACCTTTTGGTGGCGTCCGCGTAGGTGAACTTGAGCTCAGTGTGAACCTGGATTCGTTCACCAAGTACCGCCCAAAGAGAAGACCAGCCGAATGAGCCAGGTGTTTGCTTCAGTGCTTTTGTGAATTCATGTGTGCCATGCTGTATAGAGTTCTCATCTCGACTTCGAAGTTCTTAGCTTCCACTTCAGTTTGGCCTGCCTGTTTACTAGAAATGGTCGGTTCGGGAAACAATATAGACAGTCAACACCACAAGTCAAACAAACATGATGTAAATCATGGAAACCAACATAAACACAACATGGCATGAAACGGATCCTCCATGGATTTTCCATGGATCCTCCATGGATCCTCTCCGATCAACTCACTCCGTGCACCTTGGTCTTGAAGGCCTCACACCTGATTTTCCCGTGGCCGGGGTTCCCCCTTCAAAGCGGAGGAACATGGACGAAGGGGGCGACGAACACTGCGCGGCGGGAGGACCGCGTGTTTCGCGGTCGAAGCAGGTCTGGCACCTCCTCCGGTGAAGCTCGGTAGTACTGGAGAACTCATCTTGTTGAAAGGTGGCCAGGGAGTGGGGGGACCAGATGCGCCAGGCGGTTCTTTTTGGGGGGGGGGCCCTGCAAAAGAAGGAGATACCGAGGCTTTGACGTCACCGATCGTCAGATCTTGTGGGTGTTTGGTGAATGAGGGAGACTGGAGAAACGTCCTTTCCAACGTTTCCACAGGGATCCTTTTTCCAACGAAGCTGCTTTGATCTCACAAAGCTGCCGAAGGAGTCTGCAACAAGTTACAAATTGATGATTGTTTCCAAAACTACTCGCCGCTTGCCAACGACCTGCAGCGTTCAAGTGTCCTATAGTCTCATGGTCTCATGGTCCCATAGTTGGCCTCGCGAACGCCCAAGGTACATCGTTTTGCCAAGTGGCTCATCTTTCGTCATGGGCGCCGGCACATTGGCATTTGGAATCCTCAGCTGTCGTGTCTTGAGATTCCATCGAACTTCTGCTGTGTCAAGGCAGGTCTCTTCAGCAAAATTCCTGAACTTGGCAAAAATTGCAAACCTGTGTCCAGGTGATTTCTCGCCTTCCCTGCCACACCCTACACCCTACAAGCACAATCAAGCACACAACAAACAAAACAAAAAACGGTTCCGAACCTCTGCCGCCCTTGGTGGCCAAGACGCTTCATGGCGCGTGGTTGACGCCGGTAGTTCGAAGATCCGTCGTGACGGAACCGTCGTGGCTTTTCTTCGAGCCACAGGGGCTGAAACGAACGCACCCGAGTTCTCCCACGACCTCCGGTGGACACATGGTGGACAGGATTGAATGCTGTTTGAGTACCCCCAAAAGCATAGAAATCATGAAGGAACCATCAATACTTACTCACCTTGCTATCTTGTTGACTTGGACTTCAGTTGGAAGGGTGTTTGCTCACAAGTGGATGAAGGCATCCCTTGTTCCCAGTGCTCACATCTCTTTGCGAGAAAGCACAAGCACGAGAAAGCACCGAATGGACCTGACAAAGATATGCACCCCATGGACACTGCAACCATCTGCTAAGCAGATTGAGTGCCCGGTTTTTTTTGGTCGTTGTACAATGAGGAAGCTCATGGTGCCACCCAATGTTCCATGGCATACCCAGCTCCTCCGGCACCGCCTGTTCCTCGAAAAAGGCCAAAACCAAACCACTCAAACAGCTTCCAACCAAGAACTCGAGTGCCAAGATTGTTTCCTCCATCTACGAGGGATCAAAAAGGATCCAGTTCTGGGCAAAAATTGTAACTATGACGACATCTGACTTGGAAGGTGTCTTTCCATCTACATCGAATCAACGCACCATTCCCCCCATCCCCTGCGGCTCTTTCTGGCTCCTCGCCGAGTCGACTCCGCTTGGCCCTGGCCGAGGCGGTGACCTCCTCCTCCTCCTCCTCCTCGTCGGCCTCGCTGGGCGTTGGCGGGCCCAAGCCATGGAGCCAGAGGAGCTCGTTGGCGTGGCGGCGCTTCGCCAGGACGCCTGGGAGGCAGCGACGAATGCCTTCAGTCAGCGAAGGTGGAGAGCTGGTGTGGTTGATGGGTATGATATATTGGTCATTCACGAGCTCCAACCATTATAACATGCGAAGCTCTAGCCCGATTACATGCCATTTATATCCATTTATAGTATCAGACCGGATGGTAGAATGCCGTTTGGAACATCTAAACGGCTAGTTCGGGACAGGGAGAAACCAAAAAGTGACCGTAATGTTTGTTTGTCCCAATGTCATAGTTTCAATGCCAGGGTGTGAGGCAACGTGTTTAATCATTATGACTTTCCACATTTGGCTCAGATGGAATGCCGCTAGAATGGACAGACATGAAATGCCCAGTGTTCAATTCACCATGTCGTGCAATTCCCTCATATCTAACACCCTCGACCACCAAAATCAAATCGATCCTCCCATCCTATCATCCCAATCTCATTCACGTGTCTTTACCTTCCTCTACCTCAAAACCCATGACCGTTGTTGCTCACTCCGCGACTCCGCGCCTTCCAGGAACTGCAAGGTTCCCACCTTGGGCACTCCGAGTGCCTGGCAGGCCTTGCCGGCCTTGCGCACCTGCGGCACCAGCTCGTCCAGCGGAAGGCCGACGGCGCAGCGGTTCAGGTCCAGGTGCTCCGTGGTGGTCGCGGTGTCGGTCACGTTGCTGGACTCCTGGAGGACTAGGAGAACGCCAGAGAGGATGATCCGAGATGCGACCTTGTTCCGTGGTTTTTCTGTGGTTTTTCCCCAAAGTGTCCCTTGAGATTTTGGGGTTGGGAGGTGTTTGGGACATTGACATCTGATGTGTGTATACATCTCTTGACTTCAGATATTTCTATGGAAGGAGGATCACGAAGATAAGCGATATGCTGTGGCAGAGCGGGTATACCCAGCGACTTTTCTCTGTCCTTTTGAAAGCGATACGGAATGTACAGTACAAGGGGACCAGGACGTGTTTTGTCTCAGCTCAACGATTTTCTATATGCCAGCTTGAGACAATGCAAAAGAATCTCTTTCTGTCAAACAAAACATTCGAGCGAACTACAATTCTGAGCTGTGAGCCGTCAACCCCCCGGTCACCAATTTCTGAGAACCATGCACGTGCTAACGCACTTCAAAAAGTAATTCAGGGGGCTCCAGCTTAATCTTCCCCTTCACTTACGTATCCTCCCCGCCCCAAACGCACCGCTGTCGACCTCCACGCACCGCGCGCAGCCGCAGCGGAAGCCCCAGCCGCTCAGCAGCAGCTCCTGGCGCCGCGGCCACGGTGCGAGGAGCTCCGCGGCGTCCAGGTACGAGCGCGTGACGCGCTGCCCGGTGCGGAGGTCCTGGAGGATGGAGCGGGAGCTGGGAAGGAAAGGGAAGGACGGAGCGAGAGCGGTCGAGTGAACTTGAAGAGTCGACTTGACGAGTCGATGTCTATTTTGCAGATGGGTTCAAACGCAAGGAGTGAATGCAAGATCTAGATACCTCTGGCAAGGTACCAAGAGGATCCAAGAAGTGTGGTGATTTCTGCAAATGACTTTGCTGCAGAATTCGGATGAGATGTGTGCCGTAACTCATCCACCAACAGAATGTGAAGTGTCGCATGGAACACCCACCATCCCGAACCAAACGGCTGTTTTTGGCGGCCGAATCTCCCATCTCAGCTCTAGAGTGCAGAGACCTAAACCTGGATTTGCTTGTTCGGAAAAGGAAGGACGATGATAGGCATCCCTCAGAAGGGGATTCCCCCATAGGGAGAGTAAACATCACCTTAAGCAAGACCAAGTAAACCTGACTCCGCCGTGTTTTGGGCCAACCCCACCAGCCTCCATAGCCACCAGCTTCACTTGTCGGCACTCGGCATCCCACTCGGTGCGCGCGTTCGGGCGGCAGCTGTGCTCGACCATGGCCAAGGCACCACAGAGGCCGAAGAGGAAACGTACCTAACAAGTGGATCATCATGGGTCAGCTTGGGTGAGGTTGAAAGGCCTCAAGTGGCTTGTGGTTGATGATGGTTGATTGCATTTTCTATGTTTTTCTGAGTGGGAAGTGGAAGTGGAAAATAAGATTTGGGAATGTGGGTGGCGAGAGGACACTTGAAAATGCTGAGCGGCCTGGTGAACAAAGCATGATTGCGATCCTGCAACCACGTTTATGAGGCCTGACTGCTTGGGATTGACATGGATTGACCAAGAAAATCCAAGAAGTATGTACTTCCATACCACCCATGCATGAGCACCAACACATCCCTCCCTTGGCCATCCTTGCATATAGAGAGAGGATTGAAGGTAACTCCGCCAGCCTCCAACCTCGAAGGTGACTCCGCCCAGGTCTCGGCATTGACGTCACAAAGGCCGCGCCAGCGGTCCAAAATCTCCTCATAACGAGACCAGGTCTGATACCCAGTCGATTTTGGGGGACCAATCTACCATAATCGACCTCATTGGTTTTGCACGACCAGGAGGGTATCCCCTCTATTGATCAACCAACCACTAGTTTGAGGCCAATTTATGGAACGAAGGGCGGGAGCAGAGGCGTGGAAAGGACCTTCAGGAACAACGACTTGCCAAGACTCAAAAAACTCTTCCAATGTGAACGATGAGATAAGACGTTGGGCGTCCCTTCAGGCCCCTTTCCGCAACGGGTCCTGGACCGTCCTGGCAGGTGCCACCGCAAAGAAGCAAAAATGAACAGAAGTTGGAAAAATAATAAACAAACGGACAAGAAGCAGAAAGACCAAAGAAGAAGCCGGAAGAAGAAGAAGGCAGAACGGCAGAACAAGAAGAAGCAGGATGAGCAAGCAAGAAGAAGAAAGGAGCAGGAAGAAGAAGAAGAAGAAGAAGAAATAGAAGAAAGGACGAAACATGAAGAAGAAAGAGGGCAAAGAAAAGAAGAAAGCCAGATGAACAAGGTCCCTCTGGTTTACTCAAGATCTTCCTAACAAAAGACACCTTTTCTTCTACTGAGCTGCCTGCACTGGCAATGGAGGCTTGTGATATTTGTCGTAGTCACTGCATCATCTGCATCAAAAACAGCAATCAGCGAATCAGCAAATCCATCCATTCAAGTCATCCAAGCACCTCGCCCCTGTTCCCCCCCGTCTCCTCCACCGTTCCCCGCTCTTCCAACGCTGCCCGCAGCTCCGCGCTCAGCGCCGCCGGCCGAAGCGCCGCCTCGCCGGACGCAGAGCGCTCCGCGGGCGAAGCCTCCAGGGCCTGGGCCACGGCGCGCGCCTCGGCGGCGGCGGGAGACGTGGAGGTCTCCAGCAATAAGCAGGCGGCCAGGAGGTCCTGAACAGCAAGACAGCGGATGGTCCCCCTTCACTCGACGTGATCGAAGCCAAGGTCCCAAAACCTCCCAGTGGCGGCTCCACTTCCATCCGCTATCAGAACTCATCCTGGGCCCACTCCTGGGCCCATTGCCTGGCCCGCTTTCCTCTCGTCCTCTCTGCACTCCTTGCATCGTCCTCGTCCTCCAGTCCTCGCTGGCGTCCACCGCCATGCCCGAGAGCACGTCCTCCGAGACCACCTCGCCCAGGCGCTCGCCGTCGGAGGAGCCCAGGGCGAGCGGCGCTTCGACGGCCAGGAGATCACCTTCGCGGACGTGAGGACGAGGAGCGGTCGACCGGCGGGTTCGCGACGCGATGCCTTTTTTTTCGAGCCAAAGATCCCAAAAAGGAACACCAAAAAGCCCCACTTGGCCCACTTGGATGGGAGATGATGGGACAAAATTTTGAAGTAATACGATGTAATACGACTTGCAATGGCATCGACATACCTCTGAATTCGTGTGGCATACTGCTTACGGTAGATGTTAAATGAGGTGATTGACGACTCCGGACAGAGAGGCGCTTTGCTTCTCGGAAGAAGGGTCAGCAAAAAGGGAATTGCTTCAGAACGTTCCCGAAACCGCGGGCCTCACCCCACCCCCCGGAAAAAAAGACAGTCGCCCCTAGTACTTGAGGCCACCCCAGAGAAGCACCAAGACAGACAGTTTCCCGACATCGCCTGTGGCCCTCGGGTGAAGGGCGCGAAGACATCGGCCGCAGTCCGAAACCTCACAGATCTCTAAACATCCGGCGCTCGCTGTTTGCAGCCTCGACCGCAGGGCGGCCTCCGCTGCGGGGCATGGCATCGAAGAACAATCCGAAGAACGTGAGAAGAAAGCGCGTTCAGGAGGAGCGAATCTTCGTGGGGCCCGGCTGGTTGGGCGGTGGAATGTTTCGTGTTGGTAGAACTGTTGGTTGAAGATGGTTGAAGGATGTTGAAGGAGAATGCTTGTGGAGCTGGGATGACCTTCAAGTTCACCGAATTGCTCTAGTTAGTTGCAAGAGTTGTGCTTTCTCTAAGCAAAAGACCCATCTAGTCTGAGTTGTGTGTGTGGCTTGCTGTTGGCCTTGTCGTGCCTTTCCTTGCCAAGTCCTCGGTCAGACTCTTTGCGCCCCCTTGAAGGTTGCTGTGGTGCATGACTCCTGCCAGCATTATATGATTCAAATGTTGAGGCTCATGTTTAACAGCTGAAAGTAGTCAAGGCATGTCAAGGCGGAAAGGGGCTCATCTCAGCATCGCACTCCACCTGACTAACCAGAACCATCTGGAAGAGGGAGCATGCAGCTTAATGCCTTATTAACATCGACGAAAGAGTTCGTAGTCTTCCACGCTGCCTTTTCAACTGTCATGCTGACTGGTTATCTGACCGAGAACCACCCATAGGAACCACCTGAGTGGCCGTGTCAAGTTCACACCCGCTTCGGAGCTCACCTCGCTCCCTCGCTTCTGTGCTTCCTCGTTTGTTCCTTCCGCGGACCCCATCAGACCAGAGGTCCACGCTCACCTCGATCCCGGTTGACTCCTCCTCCAAGGCCCGAGCTTCCAGTGGACGAAGATGTCACGATCAACCTCAGTCGGCCCGACTGAGGGCCGCGAGGAGGTGGGACGTCGTGGGGAGGGACGGGGTGTGCCAGACTGTCTGGGGCAGGTACCACCGTTTTTGTTCGCGTGTTTTTGTTGGTTCTTCCGATGGTTGATGGCGTCTGGTGCTGAAAAGTACGTCCTCAGCCTCCAATCTCAGGGGGGTGTTGCTTGAGAAAACATGGAGAAAACGGATTGACATGACTGTCCTCTCCCTACGCAGTTGGTTTCAACCCACCTGGGTGAGGCCAGGTCCTATATACTAGACATGCTGAGGCAACACTTAAGTTCCCTTGACATCTTCGATCACCGTTCGAAAACAAGATGTTGGTTGTGAAGTGTGTGTGTGTGTGATCATGTGTGATCTAGACTCTGTTCTTCAGACGAGCACCAAGCAAACCATACCGACCGTTCGTTCAGCGGGGCAATTGTTGCTGTATCTGACCTGAGTCAACTGTAGATCTTCTTCTCCGCAGGGCATGGGATCGTGCAAATGATATTGCAAGCTCTGGTACGCTACTGTTGATGGAAAAATTAATATATATATATATGAAAATATCATGCACCGCTAGGAATGAACCATCTCCGCATGAAACACCTTCCATTAGCTGACGTCAAACGGTCACACTACATTGTCTCACCATGTCTCACCAAACATCGGGTCATAGTCATTACTTCGCTCCCCCCAAGCTTCCTCCAGTCCTTCAGTAGCCTTCCAGGAACTTCATAGACCGATACCACCACGGGAAGAACTTTGAAAGAACCACCAACACAAAATCAGTTGATGAACTGATGCAGTGCCTCTTCGGATGAACTGTCAAAGAACTTTGAAAATAACTCTTTCGCTCACTCCGTGCCTCTTTGCAGTTGATGAAGCCCCACCCGCTGTCGCGCGAGTAGGTCTTAATCCACCTGCGATTGCCGCGCTAAGCAGGGTCCTTTGGAGGCCCAGAGGGCCCAGGGCCTAGTCTGTTGAGGATAATAGAACCACCCTAAGAGGGCCCCAACAAAGGGGTAGTTGGTAGATGTTAGTAGGGCTTTTTGATTTGCGGCACCCTTCTTGTTTGTGTTGTCATAGGGATTGCTGCAGGATAGCTGGAACAATGACAAGGTATAGCAAGTGAGATTCTGAAAATGATGAAGACTTCTTCGGCCCCAAGCTCTAAGCATCCCAAGCCAGCAAGTTCCTTGCCAGCCGTTTTTGCACAACCATCTCAACTGGAGGCCTGGAGGCTCCTGTTGTTCCAATCACCGACCCATGGTTCAGTCCCGAATGTCTTCTAAAAAGGCAACCAGTTCTCCGGATGTGTCAGACCACCCCCAGACGCAACCACCGAGTCCACCGGCCGAGTCGTCAGAGCGACTTAGCCGAGCGACAAAAAGCTGCGCCCAAATGACTTCAGAGAAAAAGAATCACTGTTCTACATTCTGCGCTACTAGCTCTACTGGCTCTACTGGGTGCCCATCCTTCTTCCTCACGAGGAACCCTCCTCCCGGGATCCCCCACCCTCGCGCGCGCCGCCCGGGCATCGCCCATCCGAGGGTTCCGGTCGTGTTCGCCGGACTCGGACCGCGTGGGGGGGGTTGGGGGCGGCGATGGCGGAGAGAAGAGGTTGGGGGACAGGAGATGAGGTCATGATGTCATGATCTTCTTGGGATAGCGGATAGCATGATCTGATAGTCATGATGTCATCGAGATCGTGTCATGATCTGATCGTGGTCTAGGGACATATCTTCTTGATTGGGCCTTCATCTATGCCCAAATCCAGACATGTTACGGTGCATTTAGACAAAAATACCTTGCCAAAACTGTACCATGAAACTGCATTCAGATGGGGAGCTCTGCGACATCTTTTGGATCTGCAAAAATCACAAGCTGGTCGCTCGACTCATGGGTCGCGCCACGCTATGCTGATCTTCCAGTCGAAATGGGATCTTGCTGATTGTGGGTTTGTCGGTCCAGGGGCCAGATGTGTCCTTGGAGATTGTCACGCTGTCAGGTGACCTCTCGCTGTCAGGTCCTACGAAACGTCAGATGCTTATCCATCTGACCGTGCTTTTCAACTGACTGCTGCCTGTTCTGATGAGACTGGCTTCGCTTCATTCTCTTGAACCCAAAGACTGGATTTTCTCGGGACTTTTGGGCTGCATTTTCTGCGGCATGATTAGAACAGAAACGGTTTAACCATCGATGTTCCTTGGCAATGGAATGCAATGGAGACATTCTCAAGGCCTGTCATTTCTTAGCTCCAAAGTCTGGTCCATGTCAATGTCTGCAAATGACTCCATATCAATGCATCCTCATGGAAGATGACCCATATCATATCATCGTTTCCTATCCAAGGCTGAGTTGTGTGGGGGACTGTTCTCTTCCGGCTCAGCAAGGAATTTTGGCTTGACGAAGAGAATATGTGGTCGTAGGTCCGCTGTATCCTCCTACACTCCTCATGCACCCTGCAGTTCGGATCATCGTGCAGGACAAAAACTAATCTCCATGTCAGACTGGTGCAAACCAGGCTCCAAGGATACGGCAAACAACTGGATCCTCAAACTTCAAACCCATTTATATAGACCCCCAAAATGGACTCCAAAACAAGATCCTCAGATCCTGAGATCCATCCACGCGCTCGACTCCCCGCTCTCGTCGCGAGTCCCGGATCTCTCTTTCACCCGCTCGTCGCGATGCTTTTGGCAGCCTTGGAGGGTGAAGAAGTCTTTGGGGACTTGTGGGGGATGCAAAGCAAGAAAGAACTAGAGGGCGAATTGAGGAGTTCAAAGCTAAGAATCACAAGAGAGAACCCTTCAAAGACATGCATCTGGCGGTGCCTTTTGGTGGCAGGATGCAGTGACCACCTGAAGGTTCCAACGAGATCTTGCCGCTTGCCAAGGCTATCTCTTAAGGCTATCTTGCTATCTCTTTCGACGATGGCTCGCCTCTGTGTGTCTTTCTCACGTGGCTCGCCTGCGTGGTGGCCGATCCCGGAAACAGGATCTGCCGGGAGAAGTCCTCGCGGGTGGAGGCCGCAAGGCCGAAGAGGCCCCCGTTCGGTTCGCGATGCCCGAAATGCTTGCTCCGTTCGTAGTGGTATCCTTTTGGTCATGGACAGGAAAAGGTCCATTCTCTCCACTTGGATCATCTCGAATCATAAATCGCTTCTCTGCCCCACCCCAAGTATGAAGGTCATGGGTTGCACTCATAAACCAGTTTGGGAGGACACCATGTCATCAAAATGTACATACATGTAATTACATGTATACATGTATATACTCTTTTGTCTTATCGAGCGGCTCTATATTCAGTGTTGGCGCTCCGGTCTGGAGTATAAAGATTATAAAGAACTGTCTTCTACCAGGAAATCCAAAGGGGTGGTCTTTTTCCCTATGCGCACCTCCTGCATCCTCATGGCACCTCTATCCTCCAATTGGCATCCATTTGGAACGGGATTTGTGCCAAGACTTGGAGCTTGGACTTGGGAATCTCCTTTGGACCATGCCGCAAACAAATAGGTTGACACCGAATGAAATCTTTCTGGCCAACAGGAGGTTTCTGAGATAGGCCATCCCGACTGTCAGACCTCGTCTCATGCAGCTGACTCTTCCTTCCACAAAGAACCTGACCTCTATGTTGGACCACCAACCACCCATTTCCTCTCCAAACAGAGTTCATGTCTGGGCTCATGTCTACAAATATCTGAAGACAGGTGACCCCCAACCTCCACTGTCCGGCCGGTCTCGGACCCGGTTCACCCCGGCCTCCGTCCACTGCCGACCAAAGATCTTCTGAAAGAGAATCAACGCCTGGCGTCGAGAACAGCGGGCGACGTGCGGGCGAGAGCTGGGGTGGGTGGGGGTCCGTGGGGGTCTGTGGAGGTCCTTGGGGCGGGTCTGGTGGCATCACAAGCGAGGCAAATCCGCTCCTGGTCTGGTTGCCAAGTGGTCCAGGATGCTTTGCATCGAGGCAATTCTGTTGCTCTCGCATCCAGCAACCCTGGCTTAAAGTTGAGCCGCTTGAGCCTCTGGGCCTGATGTCTTTCCAAGGGGTGCTTTCAAGGCGAAGGTCACGTACGTTTAAGATCCTGGTGTTTCTCCTTTAACCTGTTCCTCCGACTTGGGCAAGGTTGAACACCTTGTTTATGAAAACAGCGTCGTCTACAGCACCTCTTTCAAGTGACCAAGTATTCCATGAATTACCCGGCCAAAACATGCCAAAAGCAAATCCCACCCCATTCGCGCCGGATCGCGCTCCGCATGCCAAATGTCGTAGGCCGTCTGTCGCTCCTGGGAGTGGTTGATCCAGTCTGTTGGCTGAGACATCCCGTCTGACATTCTGCTCCTTGGCTCCTGTTGATACCATGCTCTCCCTGGCTCTGGACATTATCATATATGTCTATAATACATAGATTATCATAGATTCAGATCCGTGGCATCCTCTCAGGCGGCCTAACCACTGGTGGGAACCACGCATGGGCGACAGGGAAAAGAAAAATGCCGCTTGCGGCCAAAGCAACACTGTTGCTCTGTAACAGGGGCTCAGCAGAGGTTTCTGAGTCTCCTCTTGCGTGCACGTGAACATGTCTTAGACGGAATTTCTCGGCACATCCAGATCCGTTTCTTCTAACAAGAATTCCCAGCTCATCTGGCGACTCCCCAGCGACTCCCCAGCGACTCCCCAGCGACTCCCCAGCTCATCTGGCGCTCCTCCGCCTGGATCCGCCGCAGCTCTGGATCCAGCGGGGTCTCGTGCTCAAGCATCTGCAGGTACCTCCCCCGACCTCCTCAGGTCGTTCGTAAACCGCATTGACGCCCCGGATTTGTGGGGAGGTCCGGATGCGTGGGGGGTGTGGGGTGGGGAGAGGCCGAGCATGGATGCTACAGTAGAAGTGGACATACACTACTACTACTTACAGTATCTATATAGAATGTTTCTCTGGAATTGGCCACACAAATCTCATGAAAGATCATGAAAGATCCTGTCTCCTTTTCACTTACTTTTGGGCCCCGAGGGTGGGGCCATGTGGCATGAGAGTATCGTTCTCAGGGTGAAGAAGAAAACCTGGAGGAAACCGCAACGCGGAGCAAAGACCGTTTGTGCGACGCCCGTCCAATCTGGAAACGGCTTTGACTCGAAGCCACTACTGTAGGGGGCTGTCGTTCCTGTCGCATGGGTTTCATTCAGGTGGTATAGAAGATCTCGATGGATCTCTCATGATTTCTCCCCGACGATCCTGGATCGATGTCGAACAGCCATGAACCGAATGAAAGCACCGCTGCAGACCTCTTTGGCCTGTTCGCAACTGGCTGGCGTCAGGCAATCCTACTCCTAGGTGTTACAGATCCCTCCACAAATGGGAGGGACCCACGTGAGACAAGTTGGCCGCCCGGGCAGCCGGTTTCGGAGTCTTTTTTGGTGCCTGGGGGGCAAGTCGAAAAATTCCCTCGCCTCGTCCAGGTTGAAAAGTTTGGCACTTCTGCCCCAACGAAAAAACAACGCAGAAAACATCGCCAAACCTGCACTTCCATGTATTCGTTTGGCGTTTGTTTTGCTGCAAAGGTTTGTTCTGTCGATGCATGAAGTGCCCAGTCATGCACCAGGATTAACATGCAGCTTGAAACTGGAAATGTCCAAAAATTGCTCCACCAAACAAGCTGAATGTCCGATATAATTGAAATAATGTCTCCCAGTCAAATCATGCAATCACGCTCCGTTCAAAACCTCCTGAGGTTTGAGGCTTTTTTGACTCATGAACGCAGTAATAACTCAACCGGTCGTCTAATGCTCCAAGCCCGCTTTTAAAGCGGTCTTTAGGTGATCTGAAAAGGAATTTCCTTTACTTGGGTGGTGCCAAAAACAGTCTTTGGACTTCTAGGGACCAGTCTTTTGACACCTGCAACTCCCAGATTCAAACGTCCGTCTAACTTGATCTTGCTCATGATGATAGTCACATGACCCCACCAACCTGCCCCACACAACTTCCAGACTGCCATTTCACCCCGAACAAACAGAACAAAACAAAACGAGCAACCTTTACAAACAAACTGTTCATCAACGTCAACCTACATTCCAATGTTCAGAGCACTTTTGCCAGTGGAACGGCTGGTGCCGGGACATCTCCAACTCCCTTACTCTGTGGCCTCTGCACCGTCTGACTCTTCTGCCTCTTGTGGGTCGGCAGGCTCGAGGTCAGGTACCGGCGGCAGAACCTCAGCGTGTCGGCCCGGATGTGTCGCACGACGATCCCAGAGACCCGAGCTCGCTGAACCTCATCGATCGTGGGACGTAGACGACAAACAACTGTCTTAGCTTATTTAATCATATTTAATCTACACGAACGAAGCGATAACCTGGTGGCCTTGGTACCCTTGGTGGCTGTAACCTGTCGTGGCCCCGTCTTGATCTTCTCATTGCGTCGGCTGCGGCTGCCGCCACAAATGCTATTGTCCTACAGGCCACTGTGGCTTGTCATGTGCGTTGCCAGGGCGGCTTCCCGGTGATGTTGTCGTTGCCACGTGTCATGCTTGTCAGCGTAAAGCCATTGCTGTTGCGTTATTTATGTGGCTTGTCATTGGCGTTCGCTTTCTTGTTGCGCTATGTTGCGCTCCTCTTGGCATAGACGAACACACATGTGTTTTCCCGTTGACCAAAAGATCTGCTTGGATGACCCACAAAAGATCTGCTGAGGTGCCGCACATGGTCTTTCTCCTCGTCTCCTTCATTGGGGTTGCTCTCCTGCGGAGTGTCGCCTTGCCTGTCAGCAGAGGCAGTCATTGAAGACTTGAGTTCGCAGCAAGACTTGTGTCGCCTAAACCAGAAACCTCTTCAAATGTTGGCAAAAACTAAACCTCTCAAACACCGCTCAAACATCTTGAGACTTCAAAGTTGGTGTGTCATTTCGTCCACTAGTCCTTTCTCTCACAGCTACATGCACAAAGTGAACTGAATCCTTCCCCAGATTTAAACTTGATTGTGTTCCAACTAAATCTAGCTCTTCCTTCCAAAACCGGGAATTTCCTCAACCTTCTCGTCCCCCGAAACCCGGCTCGGGCTCAGCCGGGCTGAGAGCCATCACCGAACGTCCCGCACTCACCCGGTGTGGGTTGCTGTCCGAGCTCCCGAACTCGGCCGCCAGTTGCGCGGCAAAGGAGGCCATTGCCTAGCTCCGGCGCAGGACCGGGACCGCGGAGCGGTGCGGTGGGTGCCCGAGTGACCGGGGGTACGCTTCAGCATGTAGCTCCATGTGGGGAGCTCGGCCTTTCGAATCCGTGAGAAACTATGGAACTTGACCAAAATCCTAGCCCCAAGAGCTTGAGAGGTCACTTCCACGCTTCATCGTTCAGTGGGTTTCTCAATCAAAAACATCAGCTCAGAATCCAACCCATCCAAGAGGACATGAAACATATAAATCATTATACATCGAGCTCCATCTTCCCCCTCGCCATTGATCGAACTTCCCGGTCTTTCGGGACGTCGATCCGCACCGATCACCCCCAGGGAGGAATCTGCACCGCCGCACCTCCTCTGCGGTTTCGGCCACCAGATGGTCGCTGTGACGACGAATGGCCACACGGCGCAGCGACATCGCCTGCGCCGACGCGGGACGACTCGGACGTGACGGTCGGTTGGTTGGAGGGACACCTGGAGGTCTGCAAGGGTATAGCGGTTGAGTCTACAAGACCCGTGCTCAAACGAATAGAAGTCTACAAGTTCCTGACATCCTGGGCAGTTGGAGACCCCAATGACTACCTTAAACCACCTCCACTGGTGCTGTAGGATGTCCCTAGAAAGGTCATGGATGCTGATCAAAAGGACATCCATGGTGACTCGGGTGCTTCTCCCGGGACAAAAAGCAACTCAGGGTTGAACAGAAACTCGCCAGTGTTGAAGTGGGACAGCTTGAGAAAATGTATTGGAACAAATAAAAACAACACAACACAAGACAAACACAAGACAAAAAAAATGAAAACCGGCAAGCAACACACAACCAACAAGCAAACGGATCAGGTGCAACCGGTTGCAACCCATCGGGCCAAAACACGTAAAGGATCGTTAAAGCATCTTTGACCTGCCAAAAAGCGAACGAGCAAGGACGCTACGAACGGGGCTCCTGGCATCGCTACGAACGGAGCGATCGGACGCTAAGCTAACGATCCCCACCGACGTGCGCGTTCCTGCGCGCCTTCGCCTTGGGCGACAGCACGGGCGAGCGGAAGCGCTTCATGGCCACGGCGGCGGTGCCGGCAGTGGCGACCTGGGTTGGTGGAACGGTGGGAGCAGAGAGGGGCGGTGTTCTTGGGTTCTGTAGAGCTTTTGCAGATTTGGGGTATGTTTGATGGTGTATCTTCCACTGAGGTTGGTGTGGGAATTCTTCATGACTGCTTCCAGTAAAGAGGTTGGTGCTTGACTGCGCCTTACGCAAGTATACTTTGCCAAGGAGCCCGAGCAACAAAACAGGAACCAAGGCGCCCCCCATTACCCACAGCTGCGACAGGAAGATCCTGCTGGCAGGTTCCTGCGATCCTCCCTTCTTTAGCCATTAGTTTGAGGTGATTCATACATCTATACCATTCTATGCCTGGAGTCGCCGCCCCAACCCCCTTCGGATCTGGGTAGAGATCCATGTACAACGAGACTTACAACGAGGTTTGATGTCTCAAAGCCTGAATCTTCAAGAGTGCAGGAGCGATCCTCTCTTCAAAGCGCTTGGTGGGGGGTCTGAATGCATCTTGGGATCAAGAATTGAGATCTCCATGGGAGGACTCGCCAACCACTATTCAAAGATGTTCCATTATTCATAGTATTTCATATTCAACTCCCTTTGCAGGACTTTCAGGAGTGACTAGATGCTTGCTTAAGTGGGTGACCATCGATAATAATACAGTGATGAAAAGAATAGCCTCAATCGTTTGACATGGTTGAAACTGGATGAACCAAGAGGGGTTTTCGTCTCCGTCCCGTCTCAAACCAGCAACTCATCCAGAAGTGGCTTCATCCACTCAGTGGACCTCCACCGTTTTGTGCCAATTTTGCTTTCATTCAGGAACTCTCTCCCTCCGTCTCCCTCCACTCAGACTCGTGCTGTGACCTCGGACTGCGTGACCTGAAGGCGTTCGGCGCCGGCGCGGCTTGGGCGTTTGGCTTTCTCACGGCGAAAAGGACGCGCTCCGCTGCTCATGTGCCCCAAAACCTTGGGTTGGAACTGATGCTTGAGTCTGCTTGAGAATGGAAAGGACCTGGGAAGATTGGAAGGGATTTTCAGGAAAATATGGATATGATATATATATATATATATGTGTGTGTTGTGATATGTTGTAGCTGCTGTTGCTCTCAACTTGGCGTCCATCCCTGTCTGGTGTTTTCTGGAGTGCTGTGGGTCTGTAGCTGCTCTGCTCCTAGGCCAAGCTCATGTCAAGCACGCCTGAACCTTTGTTTTCCCTCATCCATTCTTGCTTGTGCAACGTTGTGAGGCGGTGTTCTGAGTTGCGGTGACTGGGTTTCCATTTTGCAGCTCCTGTTGACACTCAGGTTGCGACCATATGTGACCACCAGAGTGTGATGTGTCGGCGAACTTCACTGGCCATTCGCCTTCGCTAAACATTCGCCTTCTTCCGACCCAAATTGGCCGGCACCTTTTGCCTGCAGATTTGGGCCATGCGAAAGAGCCAGCTAGCTGTCATGACAGGCGATCCGATCACGATCTCCTGTTTTCGGTGTGTTTTCGGGCCCACACTCGTCACTACCGAATTCTGCATAGGCATCCCATTGGTTTCTCTTTCCCCTTGCACAACTAGCATAGAACCATACATACACACCTGAAAACCAACATGGACCCTGACAATGGACCCCTGGTAGATTGTTTTCCTCTACCAACGAATGCTTTTTGGAGAACCCCGTGTTAACCTGCAGGGGAGTAAGACCACTATATATAGACCACTTGACCGACCAACACACAGACCAAATACCGGCCAATGTTCAACCACACCGGTGGACATCGTGCTCATGGCCGGCCCCACGTCGCCTTGATTCTCAAGCCACTCGCATCAGGCGAATCCTCCCGGGGCGCTACCGGCGCCGGTGGATGGACTTCGACTGTGCCCAACCAGGAAGGAATGGTCGCAAACAGTCCGGAGCTGAAATCACTTCGCTCAAATCCTCATGCAGCGTCTATGCTTCACAGCGTCAAATTCCTCCTCAAAACGGTGGGATGTGATCAGGCCCCCCAAAAAAATCCGCCCGCACCGGAGGTGCCGAGGGCGTTGTGTAGGCTCGTGTAAACCTCGCCAGGATCCTGCTAGATAGTCCTGTTAGATAAATCCTAGCTTTAGCTTGGGGGGGGTGCATTTTTTCCTAGAAATGCTGTGCTTTTCCAATGCTTTTGAAAAAGTGATTAAAATTGGACCAAATGTTGGCTATGCCGGCTATGCCGGTTGGGCCAGGTCGCATAATTGACATCACAGATGTATCGGGGAGCCAAGGGGTGCACTGCACTATGGATATGCGATGCCGGTTATGTCGGCCGGGGGAGACTGCATTACGGACATTGCAGAAATCGCAAAGGTCGAGGCAAGCCGTGGGATACTGTACGATTGATATCGTGGATGTGTTCGGTGAACATCGCGGAAGTCGCAAACATCTAGGCAAGCCGCGGGATACTGTACGATTGATATCGTGGATGTGTTCGGTCGTGTGCCCAGTCCGACTGGATGAGGTGAATGGTATTGAGCATGTGGTTTTTGATGTTTTTTGGGGGGAACAATCGCATGTGGTTTTTGACACAGAGACAGAGATAGAGACAGAGACAGACAGAGACAGACCCAGACAGACAGAGACAGACAGAGACAGACCAGACCCAGACAGACCCAGACAGATCTAGACCCAGACAGACACAGAGAGACAGACAGACACAGAGAGACCGACAGACACAGAGAGACAGACCAGCCAGCCAGCCAGCCAGCCAGCCAGCCAGCCACCCAGCCAGCCAGCCAGGCAGGCAGCCAGCCAGCCAGCCACCCAGCCAGCCAGCCAGGCAGGCAGGCAGGCAGGCAGACAGACCAGACAGACAGACACCCAGACCGACCGAGACAGACTATTGACATCGTGCGTGTGTTCTTCCGTGTGTCCTGCCCGAACAAGACAGGCAGACAGACCAAGACAAACAGACGCACACACTCCCAAACAGACGCACACACTCCGTGCGGGCGGCTTCGTGCACGAAGTGCTGTGAATATATATATATATATATCACAAAGCGGGATAAATCGGGTACTACTGGGTACCACCGAAACTCATGGAACTTGACTCATGGAATTGGATCGGTCCATCAATAATTGTATTGAAAAGTAAGTCGGGCGTTTTCCCTCCATGTGTTTTCTCTCCGGCCACTCCGTGAGGAGAGGCTTCTCATGCAGTCAGCTATACACCCTTTTCGATAGCTCCCATTAGGTCCCACGTCTCGATGGCATCTCCGTGTGGGTCGAAAGGGTGCACGTTCGGTCCCAAGTCTCCCAGAAGAAAAGAAGTCATGACAAGCTAATTAGAAGATACTAGAAGACACCCTGGAATCCAATGATTGTCATATGTAAGTCATACCCTGGAATCCGGTTCGCTGGATATCCTTGGATTCTCATCGCATGAGCGGTGTCACACGACACATCTGGTGGCATACTGTCAGAGCGACCCAGACGATGCCGTCGACCGATCTGGGTCGACCCCTCTCCTCATCCGAAAGGAGCGCCTCCTCCTGACCCAGGATGCGCCACGGGATGCGCCGCGGAGGCAGGAGGAGCACTTCGCGCCGCGGAAGCAACTTTGGGGGGGTGCAAAAGCGTGAGGTGCAAGGGAAAGCGGCGCCACCCTCCAACGGCCAACGGATTGGGAGACGAAAACCCGCGAAGCAGGAGGCATGCCCGGCTTTTGGGGTCCAAACAAAATACCCTTTCACCATGGCATCAGGTCGCCCTCCGAGTTCATGCAGCAGCGCCTTGCAGAAGCCTAATTATGAGTCAAGTGTAAGGAAGGAGTTGTAGTTCCTCTGCTCGCCCATCAATTGATACTGCTTGGTAGAGAAGCCCATCTTTCCTTCGCCAGCTGCATCTCTCCTCGTGACCTTTTGGAGCCCCTCTTTGTCGCCAGTTTCCAGGCTTGGGCAATATTTTTGCGCAGAGCGCTCCCTCCACAAGCATGAAGAGACCCAAACCAGTGGTCAGTCGGGGATCCGCTCGATCACCCATCCAACCAAAGTTGGTGACCCCAGCCCCAACTTGAAACCAACGGCCAACGACGATCCAGTTGAAGCACCAAATCACCTGCTTGGCCTCCTCAGATTCTTCAGCCCCCCTTTTCGACGCACGTCGCACGCCGCCCCGAACGACGCTCCTCCTGAGCTGCAGCCTCTGCACGAGCTCGGGCTTCCTCCCGCCACACCGCCACCGCGCTCGTGCGGGACACGAACTCGTTCGCGGTGGCCGAGCGGACCCGGTTGGGCGGGGAGGTTGCGCGGAAGGGACAGGGAGGGGGGCGCCAGGAGCGTGGTCCTAAAGGGGTCGGAGCAAAGCGTGGAGCTGTTCGTTTCGGGACGCGAAAGCGAGATGAAGGAGAGCCTCTCTCCACGGCCGACGTGACAAAAACTGTCTCATTCAGTGGGGGTGGGTGGTGAATGGTGGTGACCTCGCTTTGATACTTTAATAAGATACATGGACTGATTCAGGGATACAGGCCAACTCTGCCCCTTTCAATATGTTGATTGCACGAAACCACTGCCACAGCTTCAGAAGAGTCGGCCTCTGCCTCCTTGTGCGCTTCCCGTTCCAGTCGGAGCTTCTCCTGTAGGATCGCCTGGCGTGGTCTCTATGTAGGTTCCAAAAGGATCTGGAAGGATCCATCTGCGCCGTGTAGTTTATGTCAAATGCCGGGTCTACCCCCGAACTCTCGCCCCGATCGGCAGGGTAGACTGATCTATTTCCGGAACCGAACCTTCTGCCTGGGAGGTTCAAACACCCCGGGAGGAGGTCTCCCGATGTTCAAACCACCTGGGTTGGTCACCTCTGAGTCTGGAGATGTCTGGATCAGTCAATCACCAACCGAAACCGCGGCCCGCACGCTGCGGGGGGATGCGCTCTTTTTGCCCAAAGAGAGAATTGCAGCGTTTGGGAAAGGAATGGTGCCCTCCAATGCGACCTGACATGCTCATCTGGATGACCAGGTATTTTTTGATTCTTTACTGTTGAACCCAGTATCAATTGAATCAATGCTGGCCATGCCCTGGTGACCCAACCCTTGAAGACCTTCAACGAACAAGCTTGCTTGCACCGTGCAAGGTCGCTCTCAGCATTTCACAGCCACGCGCCGTGGCAGCGCACCGTGGCGCCCGCGTGCGCCCGCGTGCGCCCGCGCCCGAAGAACAGAGACCTAACATACGCCTTCGTTCCCAGTGCCCGCGCACCCGATCGATGTCAGCAAGCATGTCCATGAGCTCCCGGAAGGGCACGTTGATCACTTGCAGGAGCTCTGCATAGGAGGCCTCTGCAGGAGCGACGGGCAGAAAGAGATCGGCTGCCAGTCCCTTGCCCGTAGCTTTTGAGACACCCAAGAATCGTGTGCAGCCTTGCTTTTCAGCAGCTTCATCACTGGTTCGGTCAACAGGTTCGTTGGCTTTGACAAGCCCATGCCGCTGGTTGGGTCCATATAGTCCAAGGCTCTTAGGGTGTTGCCTCTTGAGATCCTCCTGGTTGGATTCGGGTGCAAATCCTATCAAATCCCTTCGCTTCCAAGGGGGATCGCTCTGGGTATGATGATTCGCGCACTCTGCTCTCGAAGTCCCACGTGGCTGACGTCCCCAACAGTCCGTTCGCTTCCAAAAAGGGTTCCTTAAACTCGGGCCAGTCGATGTAGCCACTCTCATCCTTGTCAATGTCTTCAAACCTGAGAGATTTCGTGGCCCTTCCACGTCCGAACTCGCTTCTCGCTACGTTCACTTAGTAATCAATGCCCTTGTTACTGGTAGCGATGCCCTTGTCACTAGTAGCTTCTAGCTACGTTGGTTCGTTTTAGAGGATGTGTACAAGTCTGGTTGGCTGCAAAAACGTGGCGTTTCGTGTTCATCGACTACGTGGGCGTGAAAGTGGGAGAAATGAGGGTGTGTCAATCATCTGAGGTGCTCCAAAATGAGCAAATCCTCTGCTGCCCAACACCACTGGTTTGTGACCATCGCGTTGCAAGCATTCCATTCTCGGGGGTCCACATCAGTCTTCGCGGGAAATCTGCTGAAGTTATGCCTCCGCCCAACCTTTTGACTATAGAGAATTGAGACTTGTTTCAGTGTCACACCCCACAGATCCCCTGCTTCATCCGCTGCAAGCTCAGTGGCAAAACCCAAAGCGAAGTGATCTCAGATCCGCGAGTTGATGTTTCATGTACTGGTCACATGTGGAGAACCAGGTGGGTCCAAACGGTCGCCTACCTCCCTGCGAGCGCAACCGGTCCATGACCGGCCCCGCGGTCCAAGGAGCATTCGCTGGATGGACTGGTCACTGTGGTGTTCGAAAAATTCCGCCAGCAGCGTCATGCTGTCCACCCATTCCTGGTGTCGCGAATGAGGTTCAGCGGAACGTCACCCGAAGAAGAGCGCTGCGCACCAGTGAATGGAATTCAACAACTCCTCATCCCTGAGCCATTACACGTAAAACAAGAGACGTAGACTTAAGATGACTTAAGTATATATTTTGGCATGTTTTGGCTATTGTTTGGGTTTTATATCATGTACCAAATATGTCTTCTATCTTGAGGACGTCTTGCTGCTGGCCTTGCTCTGGCCCACCAGCAGCCAGTGTGTGTGTGTGTGAAGGTTGCTGTGCCATCTGTAGTAAAAGTGACTATACAGTTGTGGGCTGTTTTGGAGGTGGACAAACCATCACCCTTCAAGTTAAAACTCTTCTTTCCTAGTGTCAAACTAGTGTGGCTGACAAGGTTTGGCTGGCAGTGGCTGGTCACTCATCTCATGGGTGTAGCGTCCTGATGACGTTGACACGCACCCATATCCACACCTTCACTTCAATTGTTTTGGGAGTCCAACGTGGTGCAATGCCTCTTGAAAGGAGCAACCGCAAGGTACTATGCCAAGCCGTGTTACCATCAGGCAACAGACTCAGTGTCCACATGAACATGCACCGAGCGCGCCGCGGGCCGCACCGCCGCCTCAGGATGTATGACACCATCCTCGTTCACGTCGAAGAACTTAAAAAGACGTTGAAGACACTGCCTTGGGGAGAAAGAGCACTGAGGAACGCAGCTTGGAAACTCGCTCCTTTGCTTTGCTCTACTGGTAATTACTGGACAAGAAGCTTTGGAAGGCTTTCCACCAGCTCTGGACGTCACCCAACCGGGACACTTCCATCCACGGAAGCTGTTTCAAAAGCAAATGAGCTTTACTATAGCTTTGACATCCTTTTGGAGTCTTCTGCAAATGGCTTGTAGGGTCCCCCCCGCTGTTAGGCATGCCCATGTTGGCTGCATGAAAGATCACCGGTTGTTTGGTCGGCCAACGGCAACAAACCACCAGTTCCATGTCACATGGAGGGGTCCCGCCCAGAACATCCACGGCTGGATGGGCATGGAACTGGATGAATTTGACTCAAGGGTTTTCCTTGCCAGGAAGGGCCAGGATCCTCCATGCTGGGTGTCCGAAGGGCCAGAGTTCTGTTGGACTTGTCGTTCGCCGACCTTCCTGATGTTCGAGGTGAGGATCTGAACTGTTCGCCACCTGTTTGGCATGGGGACCAATTCCTCCGGATTGGGGGGCCATGCCAATTCCACGTGCGTTTCAGGGGTGTACAGTCAATTGTAGTGATTCGTTTGTCCATGACCTCAAATAACGTCTTCTTGAAGAGCCAAAATGCATGACATAACGTACTATGTGTCCAATCTCTCTTGGACGCATGGTGTGCCAATCGTGGAAGAATTGCGTCATGGTTGGGAGATCAAACTACAAACATCCATGTAACATGTAATTACAGTACATGTTTTTACACCCCCCCATAGAGCTGCTAAACATCATTGTTTGTTATTTTTGGGGTAGCATCTTATACGAAGCACCGAGACTTCAAAAAAAACGAGCACGAAAAAGAAACATCACCTGGCTCAGGACTGTTATAAAACTGCTTGGGTTTGAGGTTTTGGGGGTTTGGGGTCCTACATGGTCCTAGCGATGATCCCAGATGACTCCAGGTGTCGAGTGGCTCGACCAGCTGAGCTTTACGGCGTTCGTCCAACTGAGCACCTGGGCGGACCGACCCGGCGCCCCTTGGAATTAAGGGGGTGGCTTGCGCACATCGGTTTCTATAGTGACAAAAGCAAAAATATACCTGGATTTGGTAGAGGATATTGCAAGGAGTATGTGAATGTGACAAGATGAGACGTGGTAACCTTTACTTATGTAGTGAGAAACTGGAGAAGAAACATGTCCTCTCTAATATATAAATGCGTCTACAAGATGTCCAGCCTCATGGTGTCGCCATGTTAGCTAGACCGCTAGCTGAGCCGCTCCCAGTCAATAGAGCATAATAGAACCTATAGGGGCAATGATTGTGGAATGAATGCACACAAAACTTCTGCGCACATCCCTGCAAAGCATGCTTTTTGCTGCGAGAATATCAATCCAATGGGCTCGGTCTCATCACTCAGGCCCCACACGGTACTTCCGCACGAGCCGGTGAATCTGCTGGTTGTTGCTGAGCGCCTCACACTCGCGACCCCGCGACATCCACCCATGCGCGGCTTCGTCCTCGGGCTGTCGCTGAGGCGACCACTGGCGCCCCAAAACGGGCGCTGAACGGCGCCGCGAACGGCGTGACCCGCTCTCGGCTTCTCGGTCTCTCTCCGTTTCGAAAGGAGACGAGGTCTGCGCGGTCCGGCTGGAGGTTCCCGTCCGACCTTTCAAGGAGTCCAACGATTTCGGTTTAGCACAGCGACCTTTCAGAATCCCTCCTTGGATTCAGTGCGACCTTTGCACGGATGTGACTCGAGGCGGATGTGACTCTGGCGACTCGATTTGATTCGAAGAGTTGGACGTTTTAGAACCCCACCCTGTGGTGACCATCGCGTCAATCACCTCGTCATACGTATAGTGTCACCTCCACCGTCGGGCTCGCCTCAGCGGAGCGGCGCTTGGTGTCTTCCGCGTCCACGTCGACCACCTGCGGAAGGGGACTGGAAGAGAGAAGAGAATGCCAAGAACATTCCATGCCCTCAAGTTCATGTTGGCGGTTCAATCGTTTTTGGTGATTGGGTCCGAGTTCATTGACTTTGGTCAAGCCATATCTCGAAGGCACTGAATTGGTTTTTTCACATGTGTGGCCGAAACCTTCTGAGGGCCTTGTCTTTCGGCAGACTGTGGCAGATTCGAGATATATATCCCATTGGATTATAGGTTTCAATGATGTTCAATGACTGTCCTCCAAAACCCAGCTCTCAGCAACATGCCGCATGACTGTCCGGCTCTGATAATTCGCCACCACGGTCGCCTGGGTGGCGTTCTGCAAAAGAGCCGTGGCAGCCTGACGAGTTCCCAGGCCAAAGCTGGATGATCCTCATGCTGAAGAGGATCAAACACGATGACACATGTCACATGGAACGTGTTTCGCTCTCCAAGTCATGGTCTATAAAGGTATCATAGGTAATACATCAATGATCGAAAGTGTGCGAAATGCCATCACAGAACATGAAAAATACTAAATTGAAGTCGCCAGTGAAGCAGCACACTGGAGTGTTCGGAGCTCTTACAATATGTTGGTTGACGAACACATCTTGGCGAGGGAGCACCCCGGTGCGTGCGGTGCATGACTCAAAATTCCACTCTTGTTGAGCCTCCATCCAGCATGCCACTTGGGAAGCTATACAAATTCTTGAGTCAGGCTGCTGTAGAAAAATTACACCACCGTAGACCCCAAACAGTTAAACTAGAGCTTGCGACGTCCAGAGCTGGGAGACAAATGTAAAGGATTGCAAGGCAGAGACGGACACAGCAGTACAGAGCGGGCGGACACATCTTAAGAAAGAATTGAGAAGCCCTAACAGTAAACCTTTTGGGGAATTATTCTTCAAGTGCGAACATGATGCTGGTCATGCTGCTCAATCAGCGGGCAGCTGACCACGTGAGGACAAGAAATAAAGGCATGAGGATGATTCTTGGTGCCTGACGTATGCCCTCCGCCCCAACTGAACAGAGAGATCGCTGCCACGCCGCCGAAATCCAATCCGGTCATTCATCCAACGCTTGCCCGAAAAGGAAAACAAAGCTGAGAGAGTTACACAGTGTGGCAGCAATGCAATCCCGGAGACAGTCACGCACCCCTTTCAAAGGAGCAAGAACCTTTCACACGCGAACCTGTTCCAGCGGACAGGGCAGAAAACAGCAGTGCAGGCACCAAACCTGAAAGACAAAAAGAAAGAAGTCACATGGGAGATAAATGAATAGAAATGCTACATGGCCAGCGGAAAAGGGCGGCAGCGCCAGTGACAGACCCGGGAAACAAATGAATAGAAATGCTGCATGGCCAGCGGAAAAGGGCGGACGCAGTGACAGACCTCGAAAACAAATGAATAGAAATGTTGCATCGCCAGCGGAAAAAGGGCGGACACCAACAGTGACACACCTGGGAGACTAATGAATAGAAATGCTGAAAAGGGCGGACACCAGCAGTGACAGACCTGGGAGACAAATGAATGGAAATGCTACATGGCCAACGGAAAAGAGCGGACAGCAGCAGTAACGGACCTGGGAAACAAATGAATGCTACATGGCACCAGCAGTGACGGACCTGGCAGACAAATGAATAGAAATGCTTCGTGGCCAATACACAAGGACACACCAGTGACAGACCTGCAAACGGAGAA